AAGCTTTTGTAATAGCTTTGGCGGTACCGAGGCTGTTCCGTTTTTGAGGCATAGTTTGTAATATTTTCCACGATGACCCAACCAGATTTTTTTGCTTAATAACATTTCTTACTTGCAATTTTTGGTTGTTATAAAAATGTTGGTGCAAACGCCAATATCCCCAATTCGTCGCTAACTTCAGATACGTAAATACAATTTCGGACATCTCAATAAGCTCACGTGATTCAAATCAATTTCTTTGAATTACTTATTTATTTACAAAAAAAACTCTCAAACACAATGTAATCACTAAACTACCTCAAATGTCACAATAACAATTAATATGATGCAGTAACATAAAACAACAACTAAGGAACTAGTTTTTGAGTCCATCACAATAAGTATAACTATATTTTCACACGTTTAACAAATAGAGTATTATTAGAAGTTTATTATACGTTTTTGATGTATTTGTAATCGGATGTTAAATCTAGCACAGATCTGATAAATGTAATTATGAGCCCCTGTTTTTTTACTTGAGAAGATAATAACATTTAGGTTATATTTTTGATTTTTCTTTAATAATATTGAAGAACCCATTTAGAATTGTTGAAAACATATTCGTGTCTCTCGTAATTAACTTTAAATTAGAACCAACGATATTCAGATTTTCACAAATCACTTATTCGGGTATCTCAACTGTTATCAATTCAATTCAATTCAGTTGTTTGCACTGATAAATAATTTGAGAAAAAAGACCTCAGGTCTCAAAATTGCTTGGAACACAGAAAAAATCATTTGTGTGTGACAACGCTGTTAGTCCGGCGCGCGTGGGCAAATCCGTACCTGGAGAAACCTAATAAAACTGCGTGTTTTTGTTACACACAGCAACAGGGAATACTTACCATAAAAACGAAAAGCAAAAATTAAATGTCACATAAAAAGCGCCGCTGAGATAATCAAAGGCAACATAAAAGCATCAGTTATTGGTCTTATTTACTAGAAATACCTTTTATCTCCCCAAAAACATGTATGTTTACTAATTCGCTGATAAAAATACTTTTCCAAACTAAGATAATGGATCTTTTTGCTATTTAATGACATGAAAAATTTTGGGTTTCAAATGAATGTTTAGAAAATATTTAAAGATGGTAAATAGTTCTCTTAAGTTTTTTATTTTTCATTATTAAATCTGATCTGATCGAGTCTGCCGCACGTGTGATAAGCCGCTGGTTGGGCGATATTTTGTGAAACAATACACACCACTTAAAAACTTTATTTGGCAGACAATGCCTAATTGTCTGCCAAAATAAAATGATAAAATTTGATGCACTTTTGGACATTAAACAAAATTTTAATGTTAATAACTTAATTATCTTAAGTGTTCCGTTGTATTTTTTCTGATGTCATGTTTAGCCGTTATCTTCTTGGAAAATTTTTACAATGGAAAAACGTCATACAACGACAATGTTTAAAAACAATGACATTTAACGATTTTTTAATTCAAATTTTTCACGTTAGTCTTTGACCACTCTGTATTAATTTATTTGAAAAATATCAACACACACCACTAAAGTCGACATCATTTTATAAAAAAAATCAACCCAAACTAACCAAAATATATATCATTGATACTTAGACCTGCAAATGCAAATGCCACTTCTAATTCTCCGTCAAATTTGACGCATAATTCATATAACATACAGTGTGAATCGTTTATGAGAAAATATAAAAAGTTGCATTTTCTAGTTTTGCCTGTAATTAAATTAAAACTCGACAGACCAAACATAGTGGGATTTGAAAAAATAAATGTCCTTATTGAGACATTGAAATTCCTGGCTTACATAGTGGCCAGATGTAACTCCTCCCGACTTTTATCTTCGGTGGTACATCGAAAACTACGTGTACCAAGGTAATTTTTAAATAGAGGAAGAATTGAATTGAATCGTATGAGCAATAGAATAAAAAACATGTCAATGCCATAGAATTGGCACAAAATATTTTTTAATAAAAACATTGTAAGTGAGACAAGGCACGAAAAGAAAATTGGATCACTGGTATAATACCTACAGAAAATATAATAAAAGAATACTGGGAAAAAAAGAAGACGCTTGATATAACCTTACCACCACTTATTAATATAGACGAAGGATCATTTTCTGGTAGTAGCAGTTCCAATTTTGGCTCTGATGATGAAGATGCTTCATCGTAAATACAAAGTAAATATGGTTTACTTGTACATTTACTCTTGGCACATATTTTATAGGCTATTGAGTGATATTGTTTAAATGGACAAAGTAAAAGTACAACTGATTGTCTCTCTTACTCCCAAGTAAGATAAACGATCGTTAGATTGATGAGATAGACATAGACAACTGTTGAAGTATAAGTGTTTATCGTTTTAGTGCCGACTATGCCACCACAAAGCGTACCGACCATAATAACATTTCGAGAGTAAAAATAAGACAAGTGACAATTAAATGCGCGATCGGTTTTAAACAGAAAGTTAATCAGGAATAGGTTTCTAATATTCAAGTAGAACCACGCTCTTTATAATGCTTTCTATACTCCAGCGGCCCCAAGAACAACCCTTGTGACAGCGAGTTTCAACGGTTGCATACTCTTTAAAACTTTTCTAATTAAAGAGCGCGCGGCTCGGTTGTTTGCAAAACCCAGGCGACACTTTCGACTTTATCTCCATAATATCAGCTGTTTTCGCTGGTAAATTTAATAATGATTAATTTATTTGTTATTTTAAGTCGGTGCCGAGACGAGCGAAAATAACGTTGTTTTGCAATGCGGCCGCAGCACTACGTCGGCAGCGTCGCGTCGCGGGATTATATTTGCCTCGTAATGATTTCGCTTTTCGTAGTAGCGAGGAGAGTGTGCGTGTGCGGTTGGAAAAAAACCTCCGTTTGCGTCAGCGCCTCTCGCGTCTCTAATTTCGCGTGCGAACGAAAAATTACCTTCCGTTTTGTTTTCGCTGTCGCGTCGGGAAGGACGTCTGGGGTTGGATAACGTACCGTTTCGGCGGTGGCGACGTCGAACACTTCAACGCCGATCGTATTATTCGATTATCCGATTATCGCGGGAACGGCGAACCGAAAAACACTCGGCGGGTCGAAAAAACGCGCGTGGAGCGTTATTTCCCTCAAAATCCCCTCGTGTACCGAATTATTGAAGTTTCTAAATTTGCGGAAATACGAAATCATTTTTATGAGTTCTTAAATTATGAGAGTAAGCAACCATCTCTGTATGCGGATGGATTAGAAAGGTTCAATTCTTGAAATTTCTGATGTATAAACTCGAAGGGGGGTGTAGGAGTTGCGCTGGAGAAATAGTACCTCTTATCGAGGTGGGTGGCGGCGATAACTGGTCCTCACAGGGCACCCAATTCTCACGTGACTCCAAGTTGCTACACCTTAGGAGATTGCATCCACTTGCAGGCTAAACTAAGTGAGGTTAGCCATATATTCTGAACAGCATCTTAACTCTATATTACGAACTAGGAAGGTAACGGGAAACCACATAGTCATTTTTACCATGACTATGTTCGACTCCAGTTTTTTTCCGGAAATTTAAATAGTCCCCCGATCAGCGGGGAACTGACTTGAATGTTTCAGTAAAAAGACACAACCTATGTAAACCTACAAGGATTGAAATTTAGAATGCACGAAGCTTGTTGCAAGCTGGGGAACTAGCAAATCTTGTCCAAGAAATGTCTGCAACCGGACATTCTGGGAGTCGCAGAAACTAGATAGCCAGACTCATGTACTACCGAAAACGGAATATTTTACTACTCTGGCAGTATGGATAGAAATGGTGTGGGATTGACGATCGCATTGTCATGATAAAAATCAAAGCAAGCCAGTTGACTTAAAGTAGGAAGAAGTAGATTTTAAAACATGATTGGACACTTTGGCATGGATACAAGAAATGAGAGAGGCGTCCGATTTCTACAATTTTGTCTAGAAGAAAACATGACAGTCACTAATACTTACTGTACACCTGGAAATCACAAAAAGATCAGGCAGGGAACATAATTCTTAACCAAATAGATTATATGATTATAAACACTAGATTTGCGTCTTCTATTAAAACGTACGTATCCTGGCGCTGATATGTATAGCGATCATATACTACTAATGGCCGTACCGAAAGTGTCGCACTCAAAGCCTAAAAAAGAAACACCAAGATGCCCAAAGGCATTGGATAAACCGCGGAACCAATCGTTAAAACTGAATTAACTAACCAGTTAAATTCAAAGATTCAGAGACTATATCCCAAAATCGTAACGATGTGCTAAAAATCACATCGCAAAATGTTCTGCGAAGCAGATCTAGAAATAAAAAGTAAAAATGGATGACCGATGAAATTCTGCTACTCATGGGCGAACACAAAAAATTCAAAAATGATAAAGGCCAATACAAAAAACTGCAAAAGCGGATAAGATCGGAAATCGGGACTGAAAAAAACGAATGGGTTATAAGGGAGTGCAACGAAATAGAAGTGCAATACGGGCATGATGTTTTCAACCTTCATAAAAGACTCAAAGAAACCGATAGACTATTTTAAAAGGGAAACCTAGATATATTAGTCAATGAAAAAAAAACCATTAACTATGTTTTGGAACACCCTGTCTTACAATATGATTTGCCATTTTCAAAGAAATTAGACACCCCAAAGCAATAGAGTTTATGCGGATTGATTTCAATTAAAGTATTAGTAATAGTAATTAGTTATTTTAAGGTAATATTTTATTCGTAACCTAAGATTCCGGAGAGTGATATTGTCAAATTGTCACGAAATTTCGTGAAAATCTGAACTTTTAGTTCTTATTTATTTTGATAAATGGATTTTCATCAAGTAAAAGCCTCCTCAGTTCAAACTTAATTTAAATTTTGAGGTATGAGGATACATGGAAAGAAATATTTAGGCGAATTTTACTCGTAGGTACTTTCGTGGCGTTGGCATATTCAAATTGACTACTTATTGTAAATAACAAAGCGAAAAATACTTACTGGCTAAGGGTGGTGTGCATGTTATAAGCAATGTTGCTGTCGTCCGCTTCTAGCCACAATTCCCCAGGTCCTAAGTTACTCGATCTGCCAACCTGTAAAATAAAAATTTTGCTGTTTAAAACGACTACAATGCAACATATGAAATAAAAAAGTTTCGAAATACGAATACGAATTACAACAAAAAACTTTTTTTGTGCTAAGAAATGAGGTAAACGAGGGAAATTGGGGGGTTCAACATGGAGAAAAAGCGTTATTAGCATTTATATTTAATAAAAAAATCAGTAAAAGATGCCCTAGATTTCTACTTCATAAAATTAAATTCAGATATGATGCTCATAACTTGGACTTGAGGCACAAACACATTATATCACCTTCCCCTAGTAAAACATCACTCTCGTTTTCGTGCCAAGTTTATTTAAATTATAACAGAGTTTCTCTTAGTATTAAAATTTTACCTCCTACACCAGTTAAAAAGACTGCTCGTAAAGTGCTGAATAGTCTAAATACATCCCACCATATCTTCTTTTTTTGTTATATATTTTTTAAATTCAAATAAATTAACGTAAATTATTATAGGCACATATTTGACATCGACTTTGTTTCTTGCTATTATTTTCTCTTCTTTGGAATTGCTAGCGTCTTAATTCTATATTGTATGGGCCTAACTAAGCTAACTATTCATAAATAATTAACATTCATCTTTGGTAGGTTAAGTGACAACCAAATAATTTCCAGGGTCAAGATCAAACGATTTTTTTGATAATATAGCATCGTAGCAATATTGGCAGAATTTTTCTATAAACCGAGGTCGTGATGGTGGCGCTGTTGACAATGAAACACGTCGCACTAATGTTTATCTTTTACCTTTGAGCCTTGGAACCCCTTAATCTATCTGCATAAGTGATAATAATGCATTTTCGTGTGGTGTGTGGCTAGTGGAAAATAACGGTAGCGACAGTTAACAGTATATTGCCGCAATACTCTTAATGTGTGCTAGATAACATGGTGTTACGATCATCAGCATCATCGACGGAGCAATTTGTGTTTCGATTTGGGGAACCGGCAAGCCTGAAGAATAAGATGATTCTATAAAGGCATACGATACCAAATCATGAAAGCCATAATATATTATAATAATAGTAATAATACTTTATTTTCAACAAATAGACACCTAGTTACAGAACATAAATCAAATAATTAGTAATTACCTCTTATACCTGCCAAAAACAAAAGATGTTCTTAATAATAAGTAATAGTTTCGCTTTATATTTAGAAACAATAGTGTACCGTCTACCGTGTAATGCCAGCAGTTTGGTTATAGTTATAGATACTTACTATGGCATTGGTACAATCCTTCAATTTATAAGAAAAAGGTCGTCACTACGTAAATTATAGTGTGGAATTAAAAAAGGGACGGACAGCCTATGCGCGATAATAGATGAAGAAGTTCATCAAAGCCTAAGCGCCTCCATGTCCAGCAGCTAGGCGTAACAAAAGTTGATCAAATCCTCTAGCAGGCTTACATCTATATAACTTAAAATGTATACATGTAAGATAGAAATCTGATAGTAGTAACTAGTCGGCTACAGATATCTCAACTCACTCCTTATACACATTGTATAAACAAGTTTAAGGGTACAGATGAAGGTCAATTTCTAACTCATTAGCCAAATAATTTAGATGCCTTGCCCGGTATTCAAAACATATGCTCAATGAAAGTAAAGTTAGTGTCAAACTCAGATTTCCGAATGTATCATACGTCTCCGAGGGGACGCCGTTGAATGTATGGTCGAACGGTATGGGATATGACTCCGGTAAAGAAGTTATGAAAATAAAAGCCAATTAGATATTGTAGAGGAGCAGATATCTATATATCGCGTAGACTGTAGTTGTAAAGCGGGTTTATGGGGAAATTGCAAGTATATTGCTCATGTTTCTTGAGCGACATCCATTAACAGAACGATTTGTGTTGCGTTTGGATTTGAAACATTTAAATTATTTTCTAAATCAATTTCAACATAAACCATGCATCGCAAATTTACTTCTAACGTAAATTAACATTCTTTCCGCCAGAGGTCTCGACGAATTGTAATAACGCCAATAGGTATGTTTCAAAAAGCTTTAGATGAAAGAAAGTGTTTACATTAACTTTTCGACTTTAACGGGTATTTTTCCGCTAATACTCCATAAAAAGGTCAACGAATAACCTCGAGAGAAATGTCAAACACCACCGCCGAGAACACAAACAAAAAATCGGGCCGTCATTCGGTCGGTTCCGACCACATTCTCTTGAACGCGATTGCCGAGCGCGCACTTTTATAAACAATTTAAAGTAAAAGAGCAACAACGGTGTATAGTAAAAAAACCTACGCACTGTATCTTGACGGTGCGGCGGCGCCTTGGCCGTGACTTTTTTGAAACGCTACGTGTGCTTAACAGTGAACTTGCGGAGCACTAAAACCGTCGTAAATTTGCACGCGCTTTGCTGCGTTCAAACAATTTTACCAGACATTAATTATTGGTCAGGCAGTAAAACGAAAACCGGGCAATTATAAGAAATTTAAAGCTTGGCGCTGCTTGAAATTGATTTTTTTTTTACAAAAAAATCGTTACTGCTTTAGTCTGTTAAAAAATGTGTAGTTAGCTCTTATACAAACTCAAAAGTAGAAGTAAAGCTTGTCTTTGACGGAAGTTATCGAAATAGTCTGTCTACTGCAATAAAACGCCATAGCAGTCGGTATTGTAGAATGGAGAATTAGAGAAGGACTTAAACGGTGGACATATTAAATATTATATTTTGTTCATTTAGGTATAATAAAATCATATTAGAAAATACAATGACACTGAATATATACAAATTATCAATGTTCACTATTGGACTCACGATGAGATCACTACAAATCACTACATACTATCACTCAATCAAATCAAATTACTACAAGTCACTACCAAACACAAAATCACATCACAATTACATCTTAAAAGTACACTAATTTAATAATCTCGCTTCACTCTAGGATTTACTCGAACGGCCATCCATTTTTGCGACAGACTTGGTGAACTGTAGAAATATCGAACTCGAAGAGTATTTTAAAAGTTTTTCCGTTGGTCAAAATTTGTTGAGTACGCTATGCAATATTTTGAAAATCTGAAAGCTCTATCGTAAAAGTTCCCAAAACTTGAATATTTGAAGAACTCTGCACCTTCTATAGTTTTTGGCATGGCTTCCAACACATCGCAAAAAGATTCACCATGAAGAACTGAAACCCGCGAATGGCTGTTTCCAAGTCAGAATTTGACTGCTCAGGAAAAAAATCAAATCATGCGGAATTAAATATTACCTCGAGAAAGAAAAAATTCTTCAGGTTGCCGCAGCTGCGCACGCTGGCCAAATTCAATTCGATCAGCTCCGAGGGACCGTCCAGTCGGACCAAGGTTAACATTTTGTCAGTCAGACAAAGTCGGTACGGTCCTGTCCGGCCGTATCCCAGTCCGCGTGCACAAAGCTGTATTTGCCAAACATATTCTGAAACAAACGGAGAAGAATTATTAGATTGGTTGAAATTTAAACCTATAATAATATCGAATACAGTTTGGTTGCGTTGCTGTTGCTATAACTTATATGTCGCGCTACAGATTCTTTTTCTAGTCTATTAATGACTACCGCTACATTTTTTTGGTTCCTTTTTCTTACTTTTAATTTAAATGAATAAATAAGCTACTGAAGTTTTGCGGGGAAATATATTCGCTGTTTTGAAAAAATATCTCAATAAAAAAAATTCAAAATGGTTTGCGATATCGCGAATGTTTTTCTATGATCCCTTGGCAAATGCAGAACTAAAAGTAAGGCGAATAAGTACATAATACACGGGGTTTTCTAAACTCTTGTTACCTGACAAATTTTTTTTCGAATACTTATCTAGTTCAGTTGACTTAACCTGTTTAATACAGGTTGTTGGCATGCCTTTGCATTAAAATTCAAAAACAATCACAAGATATAAATATCCATTTTTTGGAAGAATCTTTTTGTTATATTTGCAAATTAATATTCTTTAATTGCTATTATGAACTTTATAATTGAGAATGTTTTTCAAATGTTCTTATATCTATTTTATATACCCGTTATTTTTTTTTCAAAATAGCGGTAAATAAGAAAATATGATACATTGAATATGGTTGTCTGCCTTATAACACGACTAAAGCTGCGTCCACTGTATCGAACGGTTTCGTTTCACCCCTGTGGGATTCAAGTGTTCCCGAATTTAAAAATATTAATATTAATTTTAAAACTCAGGATACAGAGGCAAATTTGATAATATTGACCTTGGGATTCAGCTTGGCGATATATGTCTGTCAAAAAGTCCACACAGTGAGCGTAGACGAGCCGAAGTTGAACTAGTCCAGTGAGATTTGTAGATCGACCTTGTCGTTCGACATTGTGTGGACACAGCTTAAAACCACAAATTTTTCTACAAATATTTTTCGTCTCGGCGTATAACTGTAGGATTTTCACTAAATTTCATCCTCTTATCTCGGGACTCACTCGTTTTACGAAAAAAAGTTGAAAAAATACTAATCTAACTCCCTGTAGAGTTTACTTTTTAAAATTACATACTTTATTTCATGCCGGATATTATAATTTCATACAAAATGAAAATGACTTTCCTCCTTCCTCTCCTACTAGCTAAATCTCGTAGATAATTTCACCTTATGTGGGTCTTCGTTTGTTTTTCAAGGCGTGTTTTGGAAACAGTATCGTTAACTGACGAGAAACGATCATTCTTATGACGCGTGTCTGCAAAACGGCGACTCGAATGTTGGTAAACAAAATATCGGTGTCAAAAGAGAAAGAAATATAACATTTAAATATATCGCGAACCATTTATTTCAAACTCGTTTAGCGGAGAAGGTCGGTGCCGATTGTTCGCGATCCGGCGATGATATCGATATCCATCCTACGCATCGCCGTTAATGGTCGATCGATTTTTTCGATAAAAAGAACAAGGTGCAAATTGGGGAGATCCTTTTTGCAGTTCGGCAGGTTTCAGCCGGTCCGTGTTAAACTATTGAGGACACATATCCCGACAGCAAAAAGGACACGGAAGTCTCGAGTACATCCCTTAACGGTGGGTGACTACTGAAGCAAAGCATTTAAAGCAAAAAAAAAAAAACTGATATGAACGTATGTCCCAAACGACTTAAACTATAAAATCTTTTATTTATGTTATATAACAAAAGATTCTATAAACTTTTGTGAAATTTAGTAAATGAGTTCTGGGGCACCAAGAAGGGCGCTGCTGATACATAAAAGGGGACTTTTGATCACACTGTCCAAAGAATCTCAAAATCGCAAAATTTCAATATAGTAGCATTTCTTTCTTAAAAAAACTAAGTAATTAGATTTACCTTTATCCAATTTATACTCTATACTCCAACTGAGACTTGGATCAAACAGAATGTTCTTTTTCTTTTTAAGTCATAACCAATGATCTTGGTATTTGGTATACTTTTGCAATTTCAAGATAATTCTGTAGTGATTTTTTAAATTGTTTAGTATCCAATGATCGACTTTATAGTAATTTTTAAGCGAATGCGTTATTCAGGGAATCCTCGAGTCGTCTCCAGCTTGTCATGTTATAGATGATCCTCCAGGAAGGTTAGAATTGTGTTGGTCAACGTTGGCAGATTTTGCTTGAATCCTAATAACTAAACATAAGGCACAAGGATTCCTCAAAGAATAAAGACTATAACAATAACAATAGACAGTGATATGCAGGATGTTTCGAAAGCCCTGGATCAAATTAACTGCAGATAGAACATTTTCAAGCTTTTCTCTCCTTCGTCGTCCTTGTCTCTAGAAGAATCTTTGAAATGTTTTATCTAACAATATATTTTTTATAAAGTGCAATAATTTGCATTTTAGCATATTTGTGAAAGTGACAAATGCAGTTATATTTTTTTTTAATTAAACATTAACAACATTATATCGTCTGTTAATATAGACGGCCAAAAGGAGGTAATATAAATTTATGATTAAATTTAATTGCCGACTCTTCTAAATCACATCAAACAGTTTTGTACAAAATCACGATGAGGCACTGAGGTGCTTAAAAATCATATGCTTTACGGAAAAAAAGGGTGATATCCAGAAAGAAACCTGCAAAGGATCATTCATTCATACCTACCATCAAGTGCCACTATTGGCAGTTTGAAGCCCACCTGAAAATGCTCCTTGATGGACAGAACGCATTTACCCAATTTTACAAATATAATAATATAAAAACATTGTGACGGTTTCATATTTCAATGGTAAAATTTAGCATTTTTAAAGTACCAGTGCTGGCATATTTGCGAAGTAACGGGTTTATTTTATTAGTACCTTGTAGAATTAATTGTACTGTCCATTTCCTTCACCTTTTGCTGTTTGGCGAGTGCTTCTTAACAAGTAAAATTCTTGTTTATTAGGTTCATATCGATTTTGCGATTTGAACACATGTTCTTTTGTAGACTCGGTTCCTTTAGTTTCGGACTTGTACTCCCCGGCCGATTGTGTTGCCGAACCATAAATATTTTGTGCTGCAACGGCTGTGTGCGTGGCCCCTTGTTCGCTTGGTTTTCTCTTAAGTGACACCGGTTTACTGAGAGATACTAATGCAAAAAACAGAGTATTAGTTGCGCATTAGAAGGAGTCATAACCATTACCATCTGTCACCCTATGAGACCAGGGACCACATTTGCTTTTCATTGCTTCGGTATTCCTTGGCGAGCCTAGTAAACATTGTTTTGTTTCTTAACCTATTCTTCCTCGATTTTCTGTGACTGGCCGTCCGGTCGCCACCATAGATAGCGTTCGGGTAATTCGATGTCGTTGACGCAACCTCGATTCCTTGGCACGGGCCATACGGCCATCACCACAGATATAGTTCGGTTGTTCTTTCTACTGGCGGCGTACCGTCGACTAGGTTGGCAAGAGTGGCGTTTTCCCTCTAATTTTTTTGTGCCCGTTTAGCCTTTTAATAAAACTGGTTGTCTGAATCGTCCGGCATTTTTGTACGCTAGCTTTTGAAGCTTGGGGTTGTGGCAGGTTTTCTTTTGTGTGACCGATTTCTTTTTGAGCCTGTAGGGCTACCCCAATAAGAGGGGGATATGTAAATTGGTCACTAATTTATGATTTCCCATACTCTTGGATCTATTTGGAGTTTGGAATGGGAATCTTCCTCAACGAGGGATTTTGAAAAGAATTGTCATTGCCCCACATTTCCAGAAAACCCTCGAATCGAGTACTGTACGTATAGTTGCTCCGTTTCCCGCAAACCTTCGACGTGGTTTCTTCTTTCACCGGAATACCAGACCAGACTTGGTGTCTTGCAGTGTATGCTGTCTCTTGGGTGCATGTTTAGTTGTGGAGTTTCCCCTATCGAGCAGCCGGCTTTCCGGACGGACTTTGCTGGGTTAACTGGGACTGCCCACCTGCGGCTGTCCCATTGAGCCACCATTCCATCTTGGCTTGGTTCCCGGGATAGTGACAGACAGCTGTGTAACGTTCGGGACATCTTGAGGTTTGGGTAGCTTAAGTGGCCTGTTCTCTTCAAGAACGGTTTGCGAAACTTATAGCCTTAAATTATAGTGTCTTACATTCTTTTGCACCGCCAAAACTTGAAGGTGAGATTTGACACTAACACCTACCACCAGGTTGAAGGAAATAAATTATTGTTCGTGATTCACTTGTTTATTTCCTTTACGGGTTGGAACCTCGGGTTGATAAGTCTACCTTTTTCGAATCACGTGGCGCCTACCTACCACCTTCCGGGACTGACCGAGGTGCCCTTCACCGCCTTCCAACCTGGCTTTGGTTTAATATTTTTTTTTCTACTTTATTAATTTTTCTCGGTTGTTAATGAGCTAGCCTAGGCATTGTCTTACCTCACTGTTAAATTACGAATTTAATTAATTAATCGTTTCTTTTTCACGACCCTGAGATGGAGAGGTAAGAACATCCTGAACAACTTTCCTCCCTGAATCACAAAAGTTAAGACGTTAAGTAAGAAGCATTGACATATCATTAAAGACCACCATGAACGCTTATTGAAAGTAACATTGAAAATCGGGATTAAAAGCTCTACTTAAAGACCTTCAAGAGCACGAAAGAAACAGGAATTGGACTACATAGGGGGGGGGAAATCAACTAGGAAATGCTTACCTTACTATGTGGAAATACAAGGGGAGTATGGGGAAATAAGGAGGAAAGTAAGAAAATTGGCAATTAGAGGCAATTTAGGGAAATATTGGAAAATATATGGTAAGTCCAGTAAAGGCAATGGACACTGGAATTTTGTCCATCAGTTTTGAAATCCGTGTCAAAAGTGGGGTCAATTTTGCACTACAAATGAAGGCCAATGATGGAGGTGGTTTCCTCCTCGATATCTATTGAAATTTTTTAGTCATACGACCTAAGATCTGGAGATTAAAAGTAGAACTCTTATAATTGAAAACGCGAATTAAAATTGCTATTTTAGTAGTCGCTTC